AAAMYTTTTTTTTCTRTATTCACATATTTGTTTTTGGTCTTTGAGCTCCAGAAATCCTTCGTCTTGGAAGCCAAGAGAAGTAAAGCATGCATACCGTTCATAATTTTCYTCTTAAGTTATACCTACAATAGACTTCTGAACCTTTTACGTCACTTCTTGATTTTCAATGCATTGTGGGATCAGTTTCAAGAGAAAACAAAAGAAATCCGCCATGTTCTATCCCAAACATATCCTACAATGCATTGCGTATACGGTATATGACGTAAAAGCTGCAGAGGTCTATTGTCTATAATTCTTACCAGTGTTTATTGTACCATGAACGACGTAGGAAGCTTTGAAACCAGGCCTTGCCATGGAAGAATCAGACTTAAAGGTGATGTCCACCCTATGAGCTTTTTCATACTTGACTGTGATTGTAAACGGATTTTTACGGCCGCTGTATTGACCAATCAAAGCACCCTTCTCATTGGTCAACTTGACGTAGTCACAGCTATAAAAAAATAAATCATAAAATCATAAAAATCATGTAGTCTCATGGCATGTGACGTAATTTTGTACTACAAAGCATTATGGGTAGTGTAGTCDACATCAAGTCGCATATTTATGTCTATTGAAGTCATAATTCTTATTTATTTTTTTCATTGTTGATGTGCAAACACTCTTTTAAAACTTAATTAACGTCACGTGATTGCTCACCAGGCTTCTGTGTGGAAAGTTGAAAATGTAATATTGACTTCTCCGTCTYTTGGTAATGTAATATTCCATTTACACTCTGCATCATTGGGATACTCTCCTGTGCTACGCGGAAGCTCGGGACTCCTGAATGAACCGGTACGGCCTTTTAACTTTTCAGAGCATTTATATGGCACTGAAAGAACAAGATCATCACTGAATAAATAGTTAACACATTGCGCATCGTTTTGAGTTGTATGTCCTCTTATTGACGTACTCCTGATGTCATAAGTGTTCAAAACTCATGTTGGCCCACGTCATGACAGCACGCTTAATCAAAGCATGTCATGTACAAAATACGTTAATATATCAATAAATTATATATTGATAGTTTGATGGGGGATATGTTTACTGAAATAAAGTTGTAAACTTTTTCAATTCTTACCTTTAGATGTAAGAGTATTTTGAAATGATAGGAACACTAAAAGAATTCCCAAATACTTCATCGCGCAAGTTTCGACTATGAAAGAAAAAAAATTATGAAATGATGATGTTATAAAGCATAATCTTTGGCGTGCATAGCCATGGTTGATGAAAATAAAAAAAATAAAAAATTGCTCGTAAGCATCTCTTGTTCATTCATCCAACATGGCGGCGASAGCTGTGTTCTTTAATTCTAAGGGATTCTTGTGTAAAGTGATTATACCAGAAGAAAAGTAAGCAGAAAAGGTCAAGAAATACCGTAAAAAGGAAGAAGTTTATATGAAAYAAAAAAATTAAAACAGACAAACAAAACGAATTGTAATGAAATAACATTTTRKTAATATCTTTGGCAGTGGGGTCACTAACCAATGAAGTCGAATATTCCAAGGTTAACTAGTCACATGAACAGAGTATAGAAAAAAAAGAATACATTAGATACTCTTATTTCACGGAACATTTTACTTTGGTCGAAATATCATCTGATAAAATCTAACCATTAATTTGCCACTTTAAAATCGATATATTTAGTTGCTGTCAAATCGGTCATTAGAAGATGTCATGGAAACAAGGCAAGGCGACCCTATCGGTGTCATTTCACCTTCCTGTGTTGCTTACGCATCAGTTTCCGTTGATGTTTATRTTGCAGTATTGGGTTTCTCACATCATTTGATCAAATGTCAAAAAAACAACTTCCTTGAAGAACACTGAATTGATTTATCCGGGATATTCGGTAATAAAAGCATTTTAAAATAACAGGGGAATTCTGAGTAAGCTCTTTGGAGAGTTCCGTATACGTTTTACTGCGAACCAAGTGATTTATTGTTTCAAAAGGTTATCAAGYAATTAATTGTTATTCTAAATTATGATATAGTAATTCGCTCGATCATACTTCTGTGTTTTGGTTAAGAGAGAAGTGGAAAGCTAACGACTGAATAGTTGATTATAAGTAATTCATTTATCGTTTTGGTTAGAGTATGTACTTTGTCAGTGTATTTGAGTATATTACACTTCATAACGTCATTATGAATATCAGAGTTTGTATAACGGGTCTTTACATCTCATTGTTCACTCGATTTTTCGCATCATAAACATGAAGTTGGAAACTCCTTCTATTCTTCTTTCACTGGTCATTACTAATAATTGTTATAAATTTCCTTTAAAAGCAATAAAACGAAACTACTTGATCAATTAAAGCACAATAACGAGCAACAATAGATCAATTCTTCGAGAACAATTGATCATATCACCTCTACTGGAGGAATATAATAGAAATGAAAACCTTACCTTGAATGATGCCAAATTAACTCGACAATATCTCAAATACGAACAGTGAAAAACATAGATTGATTTAAAATGACACAGGATACGAATATTGGCGATGAATCTCGATGCGCACGAAAGGGAGCTTTATGACATTTGCCCCCTAGCTACAGCGCTGATTGACSATTAATTTATGGTGTGTGGGCGGGGGGCAAGGGGGGTTATAAAACATGGTGGAGGGAAGGGAGGTACGGTATAGAGCGGATTTCGTATGAGTGGGAAACGGACGGTACTGTACTGTGACCGTAATCGTACTGTAACCAAATTCTAGTGCCCCATTCACCAAAATTGTGCAGGCCAGGTGCGGTAAATGTGCGGTAACCGTGCGGTAACGGTGTCCCACTCATACGAAATCCGCTCTAAGACCAAATAAAGTTCGTCAAGGGGGCCGGTCGTMCGAAGGTGTATTAATCCGGTCACCCGGTTCTGCGAAAATGCATAAATCCGGTTGTTCAACCGCATGGTCAAAGCAAGCGAAGAAATTTCAATTGTTTGGTTTTTGCATCCTGGATAACCATCCTGTGGTTGTTCTAACCAGGCTGTTTATTCMCGGTGTATACGAAATTTATCCACTGCATAGCTTTTCTATGGATTTTATTCGCAGACWATATGTTTGTTTTCATTTTTAAGAGAACTATAATGAATTTTACACTGGAAAAAATCGTTCACTTTAAAAGGTTGTAAATTTGATGTAAATGTTATGTAAGTGTCCAAAATGATGTAAATTTGATGCTTAAATTTGATGTAAATTTACATCAAATTTACATCATTTTGGACACTTACATAATATTTACATCAAATTTACAACCTTTAAAGCGCGCGATTTCTTTCTTTTTTAATTTTTGATGCAATGGTTCTGTTCGATTGAAGCTACAAAATAGAAACCGACACAAGTGGGCGATTGACGGCTTGTTATACTAACACTTTGTCAGATTCCCAAATAGTTGAAGTTTGGTCCGTCATTAGTATGTATGACATGTATATATTGTCGTAGATGAAGAATTGTGCTTTTGCCCTTCAAACGCATAATTTCGACATCAAGGTTGCGCTGGAAATTTAAATAAAGCCAGTTGAATAATAAGAACAATTCAAAATGGCGAACTTTTGGCAAATGACRCTAGAGTCATTTTCATCCGTCTGTGAAATAGGAATGGCCCAGGAATTGTGCTATTAAATGCTATTACCTCCTATTAGCTCCCAATAGTTAAACAAACTAGGCCAAARCGGTTTTGATTTTGCCTTGGTAGCCTACTACACCCTGATAGTTACTATTAAACACTAAATAGTAGTAATTGAACTCGACGACTTCAACAATGTTACTCAGCAAGTTGATGGTTTTTTTTATCTCGTATTTCTTTTCGTCTGTGATTACTATTGAAATCAAAAAAATATATATTGATCATTGAGGTAAGCTTTTGATTGTTCGGGCACAAAACTTTAGACCAATGTAATGTGTAGTGGAGAGCTACTTTCAAATACGTACGACCTAATAACGTTACATCAACTTCTATAGTCCCTGATTGACAGTTCAGAAARAAAATCAAATTTCGATCTGCGCTGGCATGGAATATTTGAAAATGTCTATAGTAATTAAGGGATTTAATGTTTTAATGGGTTTTGATTGCCACAAGTAAAGCGGTCACGAGAAAAAWATGTATACCTGTCTGACCATTTAATGAACAGGGATTAACCAATCAAAATGCATTGGATGCTACAGTGCGAATCGAAAAACCGTGGGCGCCTAAAAATATTTCGGGAATGTGTACTTGAAAATTGACTTTAGCTGACAAATAAMAAAACATGATGAAAAATATAAATGGACAAACTTTGTGTTTATTCTAAACAACGAAATTATACTCTTAGTGAGCTTTTACCGGCCATTTTTTGTTGATAAACTAGTTTGCACTTTAGTGATGACGGTTAATCTCGCTTCTGATTGGTCAATAAGCAATAAACATTCCCGAAATATTTTAAGCCGCCACGGTTTTTCGATTCGCACAGTAATTTATTATTGACTCTGATGTAGTTCATAGATTCTGGTTAATTATAATATCTCTTTTGCACTTAGTAAATAATTGTCATAATAAAGTCTTCGGTTGATATTTTGCCGCTAAAATTGGTAACTTGACTTATGATGAATTTATGGGTTATCACGAAACGATATATGAACGAACCTTATGATTGGTTGAAATATCAATAGATGCAAACAATAGACGCTTGTCCAAATGATTATAAAACAAAGCCTCGGCCGGATAAAAAAGAAATTAGCTAGTAAGAAATTGTAGTGTCAGTATCACCACAAAACGCGTCTTTTTTTACTTTTGTCTTTAATCTTTTCAGTGCTTTCCATTTAGGCAGAACTGGCCGGCCGCTCTATTTAAGAATTATAAAATTTTTGATGACATATAACGCGCGCTCTGATTGGCTGACCACCGTGTTTATATCAGAGGACAGAGACACGGCTTACCGGCAAAATTTGATTTTCGCTCGAAAAAATTTATAAAAGAAATATAAAACGGCCGCTTGTGTCTCTGTCCTCTGATATAAACACGGTGGGAGTTGAAAAACACTCGAGAAGCAAGAGAAACACTCGCTACGCTCGTGTTCCTAAGCTTGCTTCTCTCGTGTTTTTCGAACTCCCACCGTGTTTATATCAGAGGACAGAGACACGCGCGCCGTTTTATWTTTCTTAAATATAAAACGACGCGCGTGTCTGTCCTCTGATAGAGTGGTACTCATTAACCCGTGAAACAAAGTGTAATAGTCAAAGTATAATAAAGTGTATGAACCAAGAAATATAACAGAAAACAAAAGAGACAAAGTGTAATATAGTGCAATACGCTAAAGTGTATTTCACGGGTTAATGAAAACCAATCTATAAACACGGTGGGAGTTCGAAAAACACGAGAGAAGCAAGCTAAGGAAAACGAGCGTAGCGAGTGTTTCTCTTGCTTCTCGAGTGTTTTTCAACTCCCGCCGTGTTTATATCAGAGGACAGAGACACAAGYGGCGCCGTTTTTTATTTCTTTTATAAAMTTTTTCGAGCGAAAAGCAAATTTTGCCGGTAAGCCATGTCTCTGTCCTCTGATATAAATAAACACGGTGTCGTCAGCAAATCAAAGCGCGCGTTATATATCAACAATTTTCTCAAAGCGCGCGTTATATATCAAAAATTTTATAATTAGAGKTATACAACGCTTTTTGTCAACATTTTTCAGTCATTTCGAGGTTTTCTATAGAATAATGGATAAAATTTGAATTTCCCAACTAAATACAAATGATATATGATAATATTTTCTTTCGGGTTTGGCCAGCCAGTTCTGACAAATGGAACGCGCACTAAAACAATGGTGAATTAGGTCCCGATAACGAAGTATAGAGAGGATATTACATGGGCGCGCGGAGATACGAATTTTATCTTCCGAGTGTTGAAAAGATATATAGATTAAGATATATAGATTATAGAGTATACAGCCTTTTGCAAAAATTATGAGAATTGTTGAAATATCTAAATATCATAATATCAAGAGCATGATGGGTAATCCCGCGCGATGCCCTTAGTCCCTTGTCTTTGTAGTTTAATTTTTTTTGGCGACAGACTTATCTGTAGTTCTGAACATTTTCTCGATGTCAACAATGAATTCTTTATCAAACCCGCGTGTTCCGGGCAATATATGGATATGGATATTATGATATTTAGATATTTAGACAATTCTCATAATTTTTGCAAAAGGCTGTAAGCGTAATTGATAATAGGTAATTATATGACAAAAAGCGAGGTCAGTAAAGGTAAAACGACACACAGACATATGATTAATATCTCTCTGGGTATTTTATTCTCTATAGCTCCCTTGTTTGAATTATTGAATTAAGTGTAATGACATAGCTAAGTAATCAGTAGAATTCAAGAAATTCCAAATATCCCATCTTTAAGTATTAAGCCGTCCAATTTCGAWAATGAACCTATCGTATAGCATTAATACAATTATTTTTTGATGAGCTAATACCTGTCAAAATTASTGGASCATTAGATCAAAAAGCCTATATAGCTAGCCAACACCGTACCGTAGATTTCGTAGCATAGGGTCAAATCTTCCAAGTACTTTCCAAGGTAAGTTTCTTTAGATACTTCACGACGTTTAATCATGTGCTATATATTCAGAAATTACGAAACCATAACATTATACAAGAATAGTGTCAAAAATGCCCTTTTTTGCTATTATGCTTATAACTTTTATTGATTTTCCTAATTATTGGTCGACTCATTCGTGTCCTGGAAACATGGGAAAAACCAGAACCGGCAGTCTTCGAAAAATGATATACTAGTTATCAACATCATACATTGTGAAGAAATAATATAATATTGATTTCCTCTTAAGAAGTTTAAGATCAAGAAGTTTACAAAGTGGATGCTAACCAACTGAAGACAATAATTAATAATAATACAGATTTATTACTACGTAACGGAAGGAAAAATTTCTTTAAAATTGACACTGCTTCAGTTTTAATMTCATATTTTATCAAGTTTATATCAAAATTTCTATATTTTTGAACCATAGAATTCAAGGGATTGGCCTCCCAAAATAACTCTTGGGTCCTCCCTTACTCCTACAAGACTTTTTCTGTACATTTATCAGTTATTGATTTCATGTTTTTAGAGTGTATTAAATTCATGTTGTTTTGGCATTTTGATCCCCAGCCGGAGACCTCARTGAAAATGGCCTTTATTCTGTTACTCGCTTTTGCTGGAACTTTGAATTTGGCAAGTAAGTGAATTTTATCTKGCGACCTCTTCTTAGATGACATTTCATGTTTTCTACAAAAGTCAAGGGAAACCTGTCCTTCACAAAGTACGCTCATGACCGAATGCTTCCCATGATGCCAATTCTTGGGTTTCAGTTACGTCATCACAATTTTTATTTTACGGCGAATTAAAAAACGACATTCATGCCTTTTTAGAGCATGGAAAACTGCATAGTTTGACAAAACATTAGGATTGTAGAGCGTTTGGTTGCCGAATTATTATCACGATTCGCAAAATTTGCCGGTAAAAATGTATAGAGAAATTCAGGTGCATGGTGGTCAACRTTTGACCACCACCTGAATTCAACGGTTTGCAAAACGACGGAAATTTGATTTTTTTGCCATACTTCGTGATAATATTCTTGCATTCAATTAAATGTGCCCATATGAGGCAATTTTTTATGCAAATCGAATTGTAACGGTTTTTTATAGGTCCGTGACGGCGTTGCGTGACACGATTCAATCTTTACTRTCTCGAGAACCAAGCAATTGATTTCACTCATTTTTGTTCTAATATCTTTATAATACCCATATTTATAACATATATAGTTTGTATCATCATAGGATGCATATTAGAGAATTAATATTTTTGTGACGTCACATGAAACCCAAGAATGGGGTGGTTGACTCACAACCAAAGGACCATTGTGCACCATTATGCTTTGGGGCCGTGAGGGGCTGGAGACGGCTATTTTCAGTTTACCGAAAGTCTATAAATTGTACTGTGCGTTTCGAATATTTGACCATCTCACTTTTCTAAGCACCTTAAACGCTAATATTAGAGTTTTCAACATTCGTTTTAGGGTGATATTTACATACTAGAAAAACAGTCTAACCTCTAAGTGGTCACCTTCGGGAAAGAACAGGTGACCGTTTAATAGAGGTTGTCCGTTTAATAGAGGTTGGCCGTTTAATAGAGGTTGACCGTTTGATAGAGGTTGACCGTTTAATAGAGGTTGGCCGTTTAATAGAGGTTGACCGTTTAATATCGACTGCGCGCAAAGCATAATGGTGCAAACTAATACTCACAAATATTCTTTTTATTTATGGTCGAACTGACCCGTTTTATACTAGTTCGAAATATCACTCCAAGCTACGTAAACGAAACGTTAATAACTGACATCTAAAAACTGACTCTATCAATGCTGAAACGCCAAGACATCAAAAGTTTAAATCATTTCTTCATGACATATAAATTTCATACTTTTCGAGATGTTTTTACGTTTTAAGATGTGATATTTAATCTTGTAGCATTTTAAAAGCCCTACATTCTATGAATTTCTTGTGTCCAGTGTCCCCTGGATCCYATTCCATACWTWCYCACTGAAACGATACTGAAAAYAATAGAATTCAAGATGGTCCAATCTTATTAGTGAAAAGGTCTAATATTTTCATTTCCACGCATATTCTTTTATTATACTTTAGCGTCGACATTTACTGTCTCGACAAGCTATTACTCTGGTCGCGAAGATCCAGTTTGGAATATTACAGATAAGGACGGCGACTTCGGCAAAATCAGTGCTCTCTACAAAGATGCTGTGGATAAARATGCTGTTTTTCCTAACAATTCTATGCCGTCTCGACTTGGCTATAGAGGAATCATGATCAGCCAGGATTACTTGAAAACATGGTGTACGTTCATAACCGTTGTACTTTACGCTTTATACTCAAATATTCATATTGTCAACTGAAAACGTATTCTTATTCTAGTTGATCTTGTTGGGAATAAATCCTTCGATCTYCAAGTGGCGATCGTAAATAACGGCATTGCAAGGAAGGAAATTTCTGAAATTGTTGGATCAATAATGATAAGAGCCATAATAAACGAAACTGCCAAGCCAGTCGACAGATCTAAATCAGCTCAGGTATAGTCCTCTAAATCGAAGTAGC